TGCAGCGAGCGCCGCACGCCCACTCAAGACTCCACTTGATCGCCGATCACGTGACTGACATTGCTCTCGTGCGAGACGCGACAACCACGCGCGCGCTATTTTGGAATTTATTTTTGATTTTCGACTCGAATCGTGAATCAGGCTGCAGGCAAGCAGGTCTTTTTGACAGTTGGACACAATCACTCGCGCGTCACACACCACGAGTCACCCACAGACACACCTTCACTTGTAGACTCCCCCTTTTCTGCATGTTCTCACGTTGCCGCTCCAACTCTCAACCATTCTTGCTCCACAGATCCCTTCCAGCATCACTCTCTTCATTCTCCCCCTCTTGGCCCAAATTCCCCATCGCTTCGCTTCGCGCGCAAGGCAGCAAGCAGCATATCATGACTGTGCAGCCGTCCAACAGCAGCAGCAGCAGCTCATCCGGAACGCCCTTGGCTCTGTTCTGGCAATTAGCCTCACCCTCGACATCTGAGCGTCTAAGCAGCTCTTCCAAACTCGTCTCCCTGCTCGCCTCCTCCTCCTCTGCCTCCTCCTCCTCTGCCTCCTCCTCCTCCTCCTCCTCCTCCTCCTCCTCCGGCCATTCTCACGCGCACGTGCACACATCATCCACAATCATCTCCTTGACGCCTGATGAAGAGGCGCTACGAGCCACGCAGGACAGGTTGCAAGGTGCGCTGGATGGCGATACGATCTACACCGTCAAGAGGCTCATCAGAGGTTTGGCCAGTTCGAGGGAGAGCGCGAGGATCGGCTTCTCCGTCGCACTGTCCGAGGTGAGTCAGCGCACACGCATTCTCTCCCTTTTCATCGCCTCGCCTGGCCTGGCCTTGCAGCGGAGAAATCACGTTGGTATGCTGACAAGTTCACAATCACAATCCTACGGCATATGCCGCAAGCTGATCGCTCAATTGCCAGCGCTGGGCTCGCAAGATGTGCTGCAACTCTTGCTGAGCTCTTGCCCGCTGCAGAAGAAGCAGTCGGGCGCAGAGGAGCGCAATTCGCTGTTTGCCAGATTGTTCGGCGTGCTCGCTCTCGTCAGATCATTCGCGCTGCTTCGAGAGGCCAAAGCGCAGGCGCAGGCGCAGGCGCAAGTCGAACAGAGCATTCGATGCTGCGTTCAAGTGCTGTTGGATCTGTACGCTAGAAAGAGCTGGTTGATGGAACCCTCTGCTTGGGTGGCTCAGCAGCTGCTTCAACAAGTTTTTCAAATCTCTTCCGCGCTGGCATGCCAGCTGACCAAACAGATGCTGCTGGGTCAAGTCGAAGACAAGAAGGGCAAGAGCATCGCATTTCAGGGTCCTGATCGCATCGCCATTCTGCTGAGCGTGCAGAGCTTGATGGAGAAGCGCAGCTATGTGCAGTGTCTTGCGCCGCTCACAGGGCCCACGCTGCTGTCCAGGCATAATCTGCCTGCCCTTGCCAACTTGCTGCGATACGTCCAGCCTGCAGCCAGCACAGGCGACTTCCAAGATGCCGACGAATTGCGTGGAGCCAGTCTGGCTGCAGCTTCGGCCGCAGCAGCAGGTCACTCTCGAACGCAACCGCACTTTGTCTGGAAGCAGATCTTTAGCGAACACTTTGACGCTGATGCGCGTCATGGCGAGAGAGTGGACCTACCGCATTTGCTACAGATCATCCTCGACGACAATCTCTTTGCTCCCACAAGCTCGAGCGAGAAAAAGTTTCAGGGATTCATGGTCATGGAGAGCTTGATTGAGCAGATCTGCCAAAAGAATTCGGGTGCGAGCGGGAACGCAGCGAGGCTGGAGAGTGGAAGATTGATTGGCAAGGGCTTCCTCAGGAGCTGGATCAACGCGCTCGGTGGAAAAGGCGGAGAGGAGAGGAAATTGAAGGCCGCAGCGGAAAAGACTGTGAGTCGGTTCCAGTGCTCCAGGCGGCGCCGCTGTGCGTTGCATAGCCGCTCATCACGCAACGCATTCTTCCCAACGGCCCACAGACACTGAGCGTTCTGCGCCTGGTTCGCCATGACTCCTCGACGGGCTACCTGATTCTTTCCCAGCTCCTCAGCGCCAAATCCAATCCGCCGCACGTGCAGCGTCTGGTAGAGCAGCTGCTGAGCTCGATGGATCGTGCAGGCGTGCAAAAGTACGCAGATCATCTGATCCAGCTCGCTTGTTCCGCCGATAACTCTGTCGCTGCGGCGAATAGAGATACACACGTCGGGGAAGGAAGCCAAGCAGATGCGCAAGGAGAAGCGAAGAGCATGAATGCGAAGAGATTGTGGGCGCTGGATCAGCTGTTGAATCTGATTAGGAACAGCAAAATCGAAAAGCCAGAGCAACTCGTCAGACAGGTGTTGGGCTTCTTTGCTGTTCGAGGATGGTTCGAGCAAGCGCAGGCGGGCGGCAAACACACGATCGAACCACAATTCCTCCGCACGATCAGCGAGACCAGACCCGTACCGGACTTCTCTAAGCACCTTCGAAAGGAGGCGAGGAGTAGGTACATTAGCTGTGCGGATGCGTTGCTAAGCCACGTCGTCTTGTTGGGTGAGTTCGCATCGACTTGTTCCCAACCTCGAGTAGCAGCTGAGTGTATGCTTGCCTCCATCATTACGTTGCTCGCCGACGCGCAGAAGATGCATCGGGCAAAAAGACACGTACACAAGGCTACGCCGCGAGCGGTAGTAGATGGATGGACTTGCTCGTGTCCGACTTGCGATCCATCGAGTCCTCTGGCACTTTTGTCCCAATCTTTGGACCTTCTGGACTCTCTCTCAAACGCGCAGATGCTAAAGATGCACGTACACCTTCGGAGAGGAGGACGACGGCGAGCAGGGAACTGCAGAGATTGGAAGAGGTGATTCGCAAGACGGACGATGGGGAGAGTCAAGAGGAACGACTCGCCGCCGTCCGCGATTTGATACGAGCGGCGATGCTTTGGAGCTGGGGAGAACAAGCTGGGGAGGAAATGCTGGAGGTGAGCTTGGAAACGTTGGTTGGTGAAGCTTGTTCGATGGACAAACTTGCGCTCCGACGATTCCATGATTGTGAGAAGCTGTGCGCTAATACACGTCTCCACATCACCCGGCCATCGCGCAGCCGTTGGTGGATTGCTCCACCAGACTCATTTCGCCAGACCCGGCTGCACAGCCGTCTGATGCGTCAGACTCAGCAGACGAACCGACTGCAGTGGAACTTCTCATCGACACGCTAGTCAGCATATTGGAGCTGCCTTCTGCCTTTCTCAGGAGCATCGTCACCTCCGTGTGGGCAGCATTCATTCCTGAAGTGAATCATAGCGGGCTGAGACTGTTGTTCAACGTGAGTGGCGCGATACTCACCTTCGCGTAGCGATTGGACGTCCCTGACCGACTCGGCTACCGCGCGATTGATCGCAGCAACTTGGAGTGGACGATGAAAACGCTGCGACAGAAGACGCAATTTCTGTGGATGGTTCCGCAGAGGAAGAGCTAGACTTTGGTGCAGCTTCTTCCGGTGACGATGACTCGGAAGTGGACGAAGAAGACGACGATACGTCAGCGACCTCTCAGAGCGGGTTGGGGCTCGACTCGGAAGACGCGAATGCAGAGGTGGACCCTGTGCTTCGCGCTGCACTCGAATTGGCTCTCAAAGAGGGCGGGCTGGCACCCAGGGAGTCCTCCAAAGCACAGCAAGAGGAGGGTGAAGGGGACGAGAGCGAGAGCGATGAGGAAGAGGAAGAGGAGGACCTGCTGGACGATGATGCGATGCTCAAAATTGATGAGAAGCTGTCTCAGATATTTCGAGAGAGGGCAGGCGCCAAGAAGGAAGATGCTGGTGAGTCTGCATACCCTGAGCGCCCTTAGATAAGAGCGATCAGAGTCAGCTTAGACTACGATACCGTTTTTTGTGCCTGTAGAGGCGAAACGAGAAGCCGTCGCGTTTCAGCTGCGAGTCCTGGACCTTTTGGAACAGTATGCGAAAAGGGTGTCGAGCAACCCCCTCGTTGCGAGCATGGTCGGACCTCTTCTCCAAGTCATACAAGAGACGGAGAATAAAGAAGGAGCCCAAGTCATTGCTCGCGCTTCGAGCATTTTACGCAACACCATCGCGAAGAGCAAAGAGACTCCTGGCAATATCGCTGTCGAGGAGCTTCTGCCGGTCCTTCAGACTATTCATGCCGATGTGCTTAGAGCGCAGAGCAAGGACACGCAAGAGCTGTTGAGCGTTGCCAACGAGTACCTGACGCGATGCGTCTTATCCAGAGCTACGGACGCTCTGCCGTTGACCGCGTCGGCACTGACGGAGCTGTACAAGCAGACTTTGACTGCTTGGATCGACAAGAAGAATAGTCCCGTCAAGCTCGGCTTTTTCGCCAATGTGCTGAAAAAAATGCCAGCCATAGCCTTGGCGCTGCGAGACGACTTGTTTGCTGCTGTGGTCCCTGCGAGCACGGTTGGAAATTTCCGACAGGGCGAGGTGTTTAGTTTGATCTCTGCACCGATGGCCCAGCTTGCTCAAAGCGTGAGTGACATCTTTGAGTACGATCGGACGCGTCACGGTCGTGGCTGACGTTCGCTTGTTTCTCTTCAGGAATCTCCTGCACTGGCTCAAGAAGGTCTTTTGTACGTTGAGCGTTTGCAAGACTTCATCATCGATTACATCCAGGAAGCTTGCGCGCCTTCGGCATTCGAGCCAAAGTCGGATAGGCTCAAAGAGGTGCTCAAATTGGGCCTGACCGCTGCTAGGACGACGCCTCGCCTGCTGGAGCGCAGTCGAGCCCAAATCGGCTCGAACGCTGCAACACACAGCCTTTGGAAGACCGAAGCGTTGGAGAAATTGTCAGTGGAGCTGAAGAATAGCCAGAAGTACGGCGCTTCTAGCGCATTGAGGGATCTGCTCAAACAGCTGGTCAGCGTGACTCGGAAGAGCACGATTGGGAAGCAAGTCGACGATGCTGGCTCGATCGGTCACAAGGAGGGCAAGAAGAGCAATTCCGCTAAGAGGAATGGAGAGCAGGGAGCATCCGAGACGCCAAGCAATGGCGCCAAGGCGGGCAAAAAGCAGAAGAGGCAGTAGAGACGGCAGTGCATGTCGTTATCACCGCATGTCAGCAGTGTAATGACATAGGGCTTCGCACGCAAGGCACAGAAATAGATGGGTGGAGATGGTTGCCATGCTCAGTTGCGCCTTTGGTGCTGAGAAACTTTTGCTGGTGCGGCACGATGCGTGCGCAAGGTGGTCATTGTTTGCGACTGACTGCATCAATTGCGTTCTGCGTCTGCATTGACGGCTGCGAGCTGCTCCCGAAGAGCCTCGTTCTCGTGCTTGAAGCATTTGACGGCTTCTTCAGGATGATTTGGGAAGCGAATAAAGAGGCCTTGCAGCTCGGCCATCGATATGCCACCCTTGGACGCAGGCAATAGCGTAGGATTGAGATTGGAGCTGGTAGATGGCGTACTCACGGGCCTTCCAGCCCCGTGAGTGGTAGTAGCAAAGCGTCCTGTGGGGTCCAGCCCGAACAACTGCCTCCTTTTGCTCGTCTCCTGTTTCACCGCCGTGGCCAACTCGTCCTGCAAGGCTGTGAGGCGCGCACTACGATTCGCTTCCTGTACACTTTCTGCATAGAATTTTTGAAACATCAGCCTGACTTGATGTTCGTCCGCATCGCCCAGCTCCAAGCTGAGATCCACTCTGCCAGGCCGGACCAGGGCAGGATCCAAGCGTTCCGCGTGGTTAGTTGTCATGAACACAATACGGCTCTCGCTCGAAGCCACGCCATCCAGGGCATTGAGTAGTCCAGAGAAGGTGACGCCAGGCACGAAGCCATCTCCCACATCCTCCCCGCCCGATCTAGTGCGAGATGGGAATGCGGCGTCTATGTCCTCCAGGAGCAAAATGGAAGCGTCGGGGAGGTTGCTGAGGAGATAGGTCAGTTTGCCGTCTGTCAAACCTCGCTCAGACAAATTGAGCAAGCAGATGGACAAGTCCAGGGACCCGGCCAACGCTGTGATGAAAGACGACTTTCCTGAGCCTGGAGCGCCGTACAAGAGGTATCCTCGTCTGTACGGTATGCCTAAGGGGCAACGCATTGAACGATTGAGCTTGGAGAGGAGTGCTCCAAGGTGCCAATCCTGACGCACCTCTCTGCCTGTACCACTCTCCCTTATTTACAAATGCCTTGACGTCACCTTGTATCCTCTCTACTTGACCGTCCTTGAGCACCACGCTGCTCAAATCTCTGACTCTCCTCGGCTTGCCGAACGGCTTCCATTCAGTGCCCCACGCGGTGTAGATGATCGTCTTGCCTTCAATCGACTCCTGTGCTAGTTGCTTCGCTTCGGAGAGCAGCGAGGGCAAGATGTGAGATGTGGACCGCAGAGTGGTGAGGGTGAGCGTCTCCCAGGGAGCGCCTGTGGACAGATCGATCATCTTGGTGGCACGTTCGCGATGCAGCTGAGCGGGAGCGGCAATGAAGGGCCCGAGCGGGATTTAGAGGGAGACGTGGCGGGTGCAGTCTGGCGATGTTCCTCCACAGCACGACTCTCACCTTGATCCAGCAACCCTTGTACCTGACCCAATGGCTGCCGGGGCCAGGCACGAGATTAAAGTCCATCTTGTCTCTGCGCTGCTGAGGAGTCGCGGATGATTTGCTCAGCTCCGTTGCTTGTTCTGCTTGCTTCTTGATATCACCCAGCGAAGTCTCCACAGACAGTTCGTGCGACCAGACCTTTGTGGCTGAGGCGTGAGCCTTTTGGTTCAGCCCAAGCAGCACGCTCAGGCTTTCCTGCTGCTTCTCTTTGCCCTTGCCGCTGCCAGTAGATTGTCTGCGAGCAGCAGCAGCAGCATTCTGCAAGCTGGCCTGCCTGCCGAGCCAGTCGAGTACCCAAGCGTGACTCTTATCCTTTGAAGGGATCTCGAGGGAGATGAGAAGCCTTCTTTGTGCTAGCGATGCGCCCTTCTTGATGCCACGTTGAGAAACGGCCAGAAAGGAGCCGAAGATCATCAGACCCAATCCAGCGCTCAGGAATTGGTTGGAGCCGCCGAGATTGGAGAGAGCAAAGGCAGGAGGAGGTGATGATGATGATGTTTGCGACGTGTCAATTGCAGATGCGCCAGGGTTGCCATCCATAGCCAGACCCGATCGCGCATCGTTGGCCGGGGAAGGCGCAGAGGAGCCGCCTGCAGCTTGTTGCTCGACGGATGCCAACGCGACGGATGCCAACGTCATGCTTGCCTATCAGGCAGTGCCCACGTCCTCGCGGCTTTATCGCGGCTGCTGGTGCTGCAACGCCAGCCCTTCGAGCAGACGCATCGATTGTGAGATTCGTGAC